TTGCTTAAAGCTTAAATAGTTAATTATACAAGTTTAAATTGGCATCTAACAAACATTAAGTAAGAATTTGATCAACACTTTTAGATAGTTGTTCGTAAGATGTTTTCCAGTCTAAGAATGGTTCTCTTATTGAACATTTCCTCTTTTTTAAATGAAAAACTAAAAAGTAAAAGAAGCTATTAAAGAACCACTCAAGAAATTAAGGGAGAAGCAGGAATCCAAGAAGGAGGAAATCAAAGATGAGGAAGAAAAAAAGAGAACCAGGAAAGGAAAAGATGCTACTGATCGGAAGGACAAGAAAGCTGTTGATATGAATAAATTAAAGAAAGATTCTGACAAGGCTAAAAGAGACAGAGGAAAGGAAAAAGGCATAGACAAAAATGTAAAATCCAAGGAGACTACCAAAAAATCAGCCAGTGAAAAGGATGGTACTATTCAGGTGGGAAAAGACAAAGAAACAAGAAAGATGGTTAAAAACCCATCCAAAGAAGACAAGAAGGAAAAGAAATAAACAGAGTTCTGGTTCTGCTAATGAGGAACAGACCTCAAGAATGAGAAATTCAACATATTTATATAAATATGGTAAAAATGACAATAAGAAGATAATGTTTTCTGGAGAGAAGTCTAAACAGAGGCTATATATAATAATTTTTTGAATACTGTTAAGTGTGTACTGGCATTGTAAACACAAGGCAAAAATGTCTGCTGTGAAACTCTAATATGTACATATGTTAATATGCCTGGCTAACAATATGTGTTGAAAACAGAAATGTCAAATGGATGCCAACTACTTCAAGCATACTCTAAATCTGGGGGGTTTTTTGTTTGGCTGGTTGGTTTTTTTTTTTCCCCTTTCTTTGCTTCCTTGTATTAAAATGCTCTCTTCTTGATGTGGGGATGAAAGTGTAATGTTGTGTATCAAATGCAAGTTTAAAAGCAGTATTAAGAGGATTATCTGGACGCATATGGTGGAGACTCATAAGAAAATATTTCTGTTTCACAAAAACAACCAAGAGGAGCATTACTGGAATGTATTGTCATAGGAACTTAGCAAATAAATGTAAATTATTCACTGCTAAACTTTTTTCCCTAAGTACACTGAGAAAACTGTTTTATACACAAACACTCAAACCAACTTCAGTGTTGCGTTAATTTATGAGACTTCAGTGTATACCCAACCAAAACGTTGCAACACTTTTGTTTATTGATCCTATGACAATATGTTCTGCTTTTCTTCCTTCCTTTATTTATTTCTCTTTTAGCTATCTTTAGGTCTGAAAACTTGATTCATTGTCACTTTTCAGTTAACTGTGTCCTGATTTTTTCTGAGTTTTCCAAGCTTCTGGTTATGAATTCTTCTGAAAATTAGGCCACTTGTTTCACCATTGATAGATATTGTTGGATTCCCATCACATTTTTAAGAAGTGATATGCTACTACTACTATATTCTGGTTGAACTTGATTAGAGAACAGCTTATGTATTTTTGAACTATTATTTTATTCAAACAACACTTTTCAAGCACATGATACTTCTGTAAGCAAACTTCTGTGTTTGTTTGCTCTTATAGCTTCTGTATTTTTAGCACCGAGGAATGATTTGTCCAGCAGTCTCATTAGAATAAACAAAGTTATGAAACATTTCTGCAGAGACATTTCAGTATGTCATTGAATCTATACTTATGGGAAAGGAATATTTTCTAATTTTACTGGACAAATAATGTTGTTTAGTATGTTGAAATATTAATTGCACAATAAAATTACACAAGATTCAAGAACAAAATTTGTAATGAAAGTTGAGGATTTATTATTGTTATACTGCAGTATTATTTTAAAGAAAACAAAACTAAAGAGTGAAATTGAGTACGAGTATATGCATGTGGGTGGTGATTAAAGTCCAGAAGGTTGATTCTGTTCATGGTTTTGCTTAATTTTTGTGTATAACAGCTGGCAATAAACTTATCTCAGACTTTCAATACAGCACATACGTGTGTCTGTAGGATGCTTTGATCCTTAGAGGTATAAGATATGGTAATAGGGTAAGATATTATCTGATATTTTTTTCTTTTTTTTAGAGGGAACTTATGAAAAATAGTTCAAATAAAAGCTGTAGAAAATAGTACAGTAGCTTAAGATTCTCACTGTGATAATTTACAGAGATGATATACTGAGCTATTTTCTAAATATTTATATACATGTGAAGGAGGAGGGAAAAGATGTGTGTTATGAACATTATAGTGCTTAGCAAAAAACTTGACAGAATGAAGATCTAATAAATGCACTTGCATAATGACCATTCTCTTTTAGGCTTCGGTGATGATAGACTTGTTTATTCCTCTTTGCTTTGATGAGTGTTAAGATACATATTTGACAGAGGAGCACTCAAATCACACTTCTCAAGAATGGTGGCACAGTGGTATAATGCACATCACCTTTTATTTTCTCCTCTAATGTGACAGAAGTTGTAACTGTCTGGGAGTGAAATTTGGAATGAGTTGCCTTTCTTAACATAGTGTTATATCTATGACCCAAAGTTTATCAGGTTCTAAAAAAAGTTTGTTGTAGTTTTTTGGGGGTTGTTCCCCCCCCGCCCAGAACATTTTCTTTGAGGAGCACTCCAGGCTATACTGATAACCACACAATAAAGTGAGATTTTTGCCCCAGAGATATATTGTACTGTTGTATATCTCTATGAAATATTATTGTCATTCACCTTAACATGGCAAGTTACCACAGTTCAAAAAATGCACCACACAAGTAAAAACTGAGTGCAACTTTATTTTAATAAAAAGATGACAGAAAATAGGATCTTGCAAAAAGTAAATGACTTAACATATTACATACTCAACAGGATGGACTAGGAATTGGTGATAAACATGATAGATGTGTATGAAAAGCTTGAAAGCAAAGTGGAGAAATGCACAAGCAAAACAAAGACCTACCCTTGCTAGACCCTTCTGTCCTTTTACAGACCCTAAGTGCTTGTTGGCTGTGAAATACTGGCTATCCTTTGAAATATTTTGAAACCATTTATTGTTCATGAAGCAGAGCAAGTGGTTGTCTGGAATTGGAGAGGTGGGTTATGGGAGGATGTAAGGACTTATTTAAGGAGGTGTACATCTAAAGGAAGTGAACTGTGTTTGTGAAAGCAGGGTGGCTCTTTCTGTGCTTCCAGATTCTGAAGTGTGAGGCAGTGGCTAATATAAGTAACTGGTGGTGTCTCCATGTGTAGTTAAAGATGATTGTAGAAGGAAGCAACTTCTTACTCTTGTAGCCATTAATATTACTGCAGCAAAAGAAGAATGTAAGACTTCCTAATACTTTTTAATATTTCAGGGGGTTTTTTTGATGACACAGAAGAAAACAGACAAAAAATGAAGTGTACATTTGACTTTTTTCTTCTAGCTTCTTATCTTGACTCTGTAGTAGTGGACTCTTAGTTACTGTACTTTTAGATACAGCCTAGCTACTTGTCTTCGTGTAACTTAATATAAAAAGGTGTAAGTAGAATTAATTGTTATTCCTGTTCCCATTACTTATATAGGGTAATGGAATAAATACATGTTTTTCTCACAATGCATAAAATAATAAAATCTTTCTAGTTTAAACAAAGTTGTTTTGAGGCATACTACTCCTATTTGTATGAGATATGTTTTGACTCCAGTAGAAAAGAGGTGATTTTTTTTTTTTTTTTTTGAATCTCTACTGACTTGAGATATAATGCTTATATTGTTCCACTTAGAGTTGCTCTTACAAGATTGTTAGCAGTACAGGAGTGTTCATTATAGTGTAGCCTCTGCTTTCTTAAATATTTTTTTTTTCTTTCTATTGATTACTGTGCATACAGCTCTTGAGAACTTAGTTTGTTTTGGGCAGTGTTTATGTTTATTTAAGAAGGTAGTTTTATCTTAAATGATATTGGAACTTAAATATGAACCTTGGAAAAATGGTGTAGAATTCTGTTTGGAAGGAACTTCAGGAGATCCTTATTCCAAAATCCTGCTCAAAACAGGGTCATCTCAGAGGTATGACTGGGTTACCCTGGCCATTATCCAGTGTGGTCTTTAAAACCTCCAAGGATGGGAATGCACAACCTCTCTGTGCAGCCTTTTCCACTGATTTGACTGTCCTCGTGATGGGGTGGGTGTGCAAGTGTGTGTGTAAGCTTTTTCTTATACCCAGTCTGAACTTGGTTAAGGCTTGCCTAAATCCTTCCTAAAAGATGGTTGAGAGGAAGATTAGGCTAATAGCGATACATTCTTTCTGGAGGATGTGTTATCTTAAGATGTGGTGTAATCTTTCAAGGCTATGTATTATCTTTATCTGTTACCATGGTGTTGATCATTGCTGTTACTGGTTGCTTTCTTTTCATTGTGTTTTGATCTAGAAAGACTCTGTGGTATAGACAGTAAGCATCTTAGTGGTGAAATTCCATCAGTCATACTTTTTCTGTAGTAATTTAGTTGTCAAAAGAAACTAGAGAGTGAGATTACCTTATTTTGAAGAAACTATGTTTCTCTTCATCAGATCTAAGATTTAACATGAATTTAAAATACCTCTTCTCATCTGTGCAGCACTTTATAAAGTTCAGATTAGTTCTCCGTAAAAACCTGTAAAATTGATGATATGAAAGCACTTTTTTCCCAAAGAGAAAACAGTGAGAAAAACCTGCTGCCTATTTTTCTTCTGGATCCTGAATAGGTGTTGAGAATAGCATAGTCATTTGTTCAGTTGCTTTGAAATAAAGGCAAGTGCTTAAATTTCTGTCTCTTTTTTCCCCTCATTGTATGTTTGTCTTCAAAACGTACTTGTTTACTATCTGAATACACTTCAGTCTTTGTATATATCACTGTATATCAGGAGAGCCCTGTAATTGTGATTGATTAATTGAATACATTTTGGAAAGTTTAACAGCAGTTAATGTAATTGAAACTACTTTCTTAGTTTATAATTTAATCATATCAAAAAGAGCATAAAGTTAACTTTATAACTGAAAAATGCAGGCCTTAAAGAAAGATCTGTCCCAGCACAGCCAACATCACCAGAATCTGAGGAGACCGTACAGCCTGCTGAGAAGTCGTATGCTGAATCAGGTAAGGCCTTTCGTAAACCATAGGTGAAATAAAAGACATGATACTTAATTTGAATTATAATTCTGTTTCCTTAGCGTGCAAACTCATTGTGTTATTTTTTTGGGTAGAAAAATAAATATTTCATTGATTTTTTGTCTTGCGTATCCATTACAGTTTATTTAGTGGGAATCACTGTTGATAACTTTTATACAAAACACTGACCATGAAAAGTCTCATTTGAATGTATAGAAGACACTCTTGTCAGCTCTCACAGTTACCATTGGAACAATATCAAATCAGAATAACTTTCTGCTGATGTGAAGTTGTGATTGTGATACATATGCGATGGTATAGCCAGTGAGAATAACAGCAGATTTTCAGCCTTAAAAAAATACAAAACCAAACAAAAACAACAAAAAACCCCGCCCCCCCATTACTAAATTCATGAGATTAATCAAATATTCACTTTTCCACTAAACCAATAGTATATCATAAATGCAATAAAGCTTCTATTGTTGAAAAAAGATTTAAACATTTTAAAAGCCCCATAGTATTAGTAACATTTATTAGGTTTAAGAGGAATACAAGAAAAAATATTTCTATGTGTCAGACTTCAGATATGTGATTTGCATTTTAGTGTTATTTAGAGAGGGCATATTTTTTCCTATTCCTCGAAGAGGCTTGTCCTACTTGATGTCTATGTGAACCTAACAAAATAACCCACAAATATGGAACATGTGGTTAATAAAAAGGAATATAGAATTTGTTTTAAAATATTTGCATTACATTTCTTAAGTTATCATTTATAAAATATATCAAGGTAAGATGTCATTCTCCCCCCCCCCCCCCCCGCAACACACCA